ACTGTCCTCTAATGCCATCTACTACAAATGGTAGAAAACACTGAAATAAAACTACGTTCCTGGGCTGGTGAGATGGCTCAGTGGTTAAGAGCACTGACTGCTCTTCCAGAGGTTATGAGCTCAAATCCCAGCAACCACATGGTGGCTCACAACCATCCGTAATGAGATCTGATGCCCCCTTATGGGGTGTCTACAGACAGCTACAGTGTACTTACATATAATAAATAAATAAAACCTTTAAAACTACGTTCCACAGGCACAAGCACACTGCTGAATTTCGTTGATTGTAAAGAGAGTTCGTTGGTCATGATGATGGAGAAGGCATTCTGTAGCTCCTTGGATGGTAGGTAGTTTGGGTGGAAGCATTCATTACATGCAGGAAAGGCAAATCCATATCCAAAGTTTCCATTTCAGTGAAAACAGTTCTGCACCTTCTGTGCCAAAAGTGTCCCAGTGTACTTCACTTTCCACAGGACACAGTCACCATGGTGACTGGGGCCATAATGGGGACTCATTGCCTTCTACCATTGGTGTACTGCCAGAACACGGTCAAAAGAATGATGCATGGTTAGCAACGCCTTGAAGAAATGTGAGAGAGGCTCCAGAAAAATAGAGGGAAGGCCTTTTACCTCAGGCTCATTTTGTTTCCTGGATTGTTCTTAAGACTTGATTTCATGCTTCTTGTGACAAATATTTACATTCAATTTATAAGACACGTTTATTCTTTTTTTGTTTTTTAATTGGATATTTTATTTACATTTCAGACGTTATCCCCTTACCCCATTCCCCTCACCACCCAGGAACTCCCTATCCCATCCCCACTCCTCATGCTTCTATGAAGATGTGCCCCACCTACCCCCCACTCCTACCTCCCTACCCTCGAACTCCCCCCCTACTGGGTGTCCAGCCTTCATGGGACCAAGGATCTCCTTTCCCACCTATGCCCGATAGGGTCATCCTCTCCTACATATACAGCTGGACCCATGGGTCCCTCCCTATGTGCTCCCAGGTTGATGGTTTAGATCCTGGGAGCTCTGGTTGGTTGGTATTGTTGCTCTCCTCATGGAGCCACAAACCCTTTCAGCTCCTTCAGTCTTCACTCTAACTCCTCCATTGGGAACCCCATGATCAGTTCAATGGTTAGCTGTGAGCATCTGCCTCTGAATATGTCAGACTCTGGCAGACCTCTAAGGAGACAGCTAAATCAGGCTCCTGTCAGCATGCACTTCCTGACATCCACATTAGTGTCTACCTTTGGTGACCTTCAGATACCCAGGTGTAATGGTCTCCAGACAGCCCCTCCTTCAGTTTCTGTCCAACACTTTGTCTCCATATTTGCTCCCTTGAGTATTTTGTTACTCCTTCTAAGAAGGATCAAAGCACCCACACTTGGTCTTCCTTCTTCATGAGCTTCATGTGGTCTGTGAGTTGAATCTTGGGTATTGGGAGCTTCCGGGCTAATATCCAATTATCAATGAGTGAATACCATGTGTGTTCTTTTGTGATTGGCTTACCTCACTCAGTATATTTTCTAGTTCCATCCATTTACCTAAGAATTTCTCAAATTCATTGTTTTTAATAGCTGAGTAATATTCCATTGTGTAAATGTACCACATTTTCTGTATCCATTCCTCTGTTGAAGGACATCAGGGTTCTTTCCAGCTTCTGGCTATTATAAATAAGGCTGCTGTGAACATAGTGGAGCATATGTCCTTGTTATATGTTAGAGTATCTTCTGGGTATATGCTCAGGAGTGGTATAGCTGGGTCCTCAGGTAATGTTATGTCCAATTTTCTGAGGAACCACCAGACTAATTTCCAGAGTGGTTGCACCATCTTGCAATCCCATCAACAATGGAGGAGTGTTCCTCTTTCTCCACATCCTCACCAGCATCTACTATCATCTGAGTTTTTGATCTTAGCCATTCTTACTGGTGTGAGGTGGAATCTCAGGGTTGTTTTGATTTGCATTTCCCTGATGACTAAGGATGCTGAACATTTCTTGAGGTGCTTCTCGGCCATCTGAGTTTCCTCAGTTGAGAGTTCTTTGTTTAGCTCTGTACCCCATTTTGACATGTTCATTCTTGTTGGACATAAGATCATAGCCATAGAACCCAATCTGGTCAGTGCATCCTGAATACGGCCTTCTACCTTGCTTTCATGCTTTCCCAGATATAATCTATAGTACATGCCAGACAACTGTGTTTAAATTGGTCTGTCCTGCAAAAGTTCTGGAAAAGGGCTACTACTCTGTCAATATTTAGTATGTGCTTACTGACATTTATTTATGTGATTTTCTGATTATGTTTGGTTTTGTTTTTTAATTCAAACAGCCTTCCCTGGATCATTCATTGCTTTCTTTGTTTCATTCATGTATAAAAGTACACTGAGACTGAAGCAAGGTTATCACAGCATTAGACTGTAGTCCACCCTATTCTTTCAGGTCCTCAGATCCCAGGTCTCACAGACACAGATCTGCATGTCAGTATACTTAACACTGCAGAGCACTGCCACCAGGTCAGCCACAGTGAGAGGAAGACCATGCACACACATAAGCCCTAGTGCTACAACCACGGCAAGGCTGTGCTTGTACTCACGGGGATATCCATTATCCTCAGAACAAGCTATCTTCCTCCTTGATCACTGAGGCGCTCTCTTCTCTGCTGCAAGAACCATTTGAGTGTTTAATCCAATGAACCCTTCTACAAGTATCTTCCTATCAGTCTTCCAATCATACAGCTTCAAAGTTCACGACCATCCAATCCAACAGTTACAGATGAGTCAGGGCATAATTTCACATCTGGCTGATGTTTTTAAGCACAACGTACAACCTTATGCCCTGCCTGAACTTCTGACCACTGAGAAGATTTCCCTTCAGGACCCTCCTTCAATGTTGTGCAAGAAAGACACCATAATGCTGCAGCTGTCTGCTTCTGAGTGGTGCTTGTAGAGTGTGCAGAACATCTATAAATCAGGACACAGTCTCTTCTCCAACCAACCAATCATAAAGAACACCCCGCCCCGTCCGCCCCAAGGCTGTCCGTGCACACTTGGGAAGAAAAACCAATGTAGCAAGAGTAGGAATCATAGACATATTGGCTACTTCAGGAGGTGTGGAGGGAACTGCCCACACCTACAACTTGCAAGTCTTTGATGGTATCAATAATGTGCAATATGCATAGAATAAAGGGTCCAGGATTCAAAGGCAGAAGAGAAACAGCATTACTCATCATCGATAAGGTCTCACTAGCAAAGCTGTTGTTCCAATAAGATACACTTGTTTTTCATTCACTATTTCCCCTGATCATCACAGCTCTAATAGCTTCCACTTAGCCATTTCCAAACATTATAACCCTCATCCCTCATGTCACTGAAAACATGGAGATTGTGCCAACACCCAAGTATAATTATCCCAATTGTGAATTCTGTGCTTGAAAAAAATATCCAAATGGCTTAAGCCCAGTATAAATTGTACGGTGGCTGAAATTCCAGTGATCATCTCCTCCTGCCCTTAAGCATTTACTGTATAATTGAAGGACCACATACTACTTGGGATTGCCCATAATCACCAGATTCAGCTAGTATCCAGTAGTACCTACAGGATCCTGATTATATCAATTTGCACAAGGAACAGCTACCCAGATAAAGAACTAAAGGTCCCTATGGTGAAGAATCTGAGAACGATTACTGAGGGACTAGAGCACCCATGAGCACTTGCTCTTCTTTCATGTATACTGACACCCCTGATATTTGTTTCTTGCACATCTAGAAAAGGGCACAAACACTCAAACTTAAATAGGCTTTACATGGTAAATCACTCGTCTCATGAGTTGGAATTTCCTTATCAATATCAATTTTTGTATGTCAGGCAATACTGCTTCATTCACAGAAGGCCATCTTTGGACCTAGAATTCAACCCCAAATCAAACTGAACCTTAAATCTGTGTGTTTGCCTGCACATATGTATATGCACCACAAATAGGAAGGTCCCTGTGGAGGCCAGAGGTCATTAGAGCCCTTGTAACTGGAAGCAGTTGTAAGCTGCTACCAGGGTACTAGAAACTGAACCCAGGTTCCCCAAAAGAACTGCAAGTACTCTTAACCACTGAGCCATCTCTCCAGTCCAGTAAACTGTAGCTTTTGAATATATAATCTATAGTACTAAGCCCAGAATTTCTGCTCAGTGTACCCACGCCAATTCAGTCTGATCCAGTTTTATGCCTCTCCCACCATTACAACATACCACTAATACTCATATCCATACACACTCAAAACCCATCTCTTTGTATGAATCAGAAAAACCAAGTCTTCAGGACCACACAATGTGTACCTTACCTTTGAGATCTTGGTGAGGCTCGAGTCTGTATCAACATTGTCTTTTTTGCCATTTTCTTTAGGAAATATCTTTGCAATCCCCTTAGACCATGTGGAATTAACTCTTTCTGGTAAGAGTAGAAATGCCAATATTGGTAGCAAGGTGTAGGAATAAGGAGGGATGTATTTGTTACTTTGGATTGAGTACTATGCCCAGGAATAAGCAAATACAGCATTAACTGGACTCCAGGGACCAAGAAAAAAAAGCACACTGATGACTCTGGTGACACATGCCTTTAATCTCAATCAAAGGAAGCAGATCTCTGTTGAGTTCAAAGCCAACCTGTTCTACACAGTGAGCTCCAGTGTTACATAGTAAGACCTTACTTTAAAGAGAGAGGGAGGGAGGGAGGGAGGGAGGGAGGGAGGGAGGGAGAGAGAGAGAGAGAGAGAGAGAGAGAGAGAGAGAGAGAGAGAGAGAGAATGGGAGGCACTAGAGAGGATGGAGTGGAATAGAATTTAATCAAAACACAATGTATACATGTATGAAATTCTCAAACAGTAAAGGAAAAATATAATTAAAAGCCTCAAATTAACTACAAACACCTTTCTGTCACCCAGAAGTGTGGTGAGAGGGAGGCCATGATGTGATATGAAGGTTACTTCAAAGAAATGAGTACTAAGTAATGTGGTAACACTAAGAGTATATATAGATTTATTGACCTTGAGGGTAACAGCATAGAATACATTCCACAGTTAGAAGCAGATTCAAGCATGTGTCTCAAGAACACTGTTTTCAGTCCATGGGGTTTCATTTAAAATCGAAAGAGTCCATTCAAAGGGCAGACCTACCGTCTAGTGATTGTAGGGAATGGTTTCCTAGGTTGGCTAGAAGAGGTTCTATAACCTCAAGATGATCCATCCTCTCTTTGTTGTAGGAATGACCCATCAGAGTCCATGTGCTGGCCTCTCTTTGTTGTAGGAATGACCCATCAGAGTCCATGTGCTGGCCTCTCTTTGATGTAGGGCTCTGGAGTTAAATTACTGTGGCTCACAGTCCTTCTTTTCTGGACTTTTTCCTGCATTACTTCTCCCTCAGATACATGATCTCCACAAACTTGCATGGGAGTTGAAGGGCAGAAGATTCCATCTTTGGTAAGTACTTCCGGGTGGTGGTGTTCTATATTCCCTGTGACCCCTGAAGGCTATACTACGTTAGGTTCATAACTATTTTGAGTTCTTACATGTATCTTCTGTGAATAGGGATAAGCGTTTTATCACATTGTTCACATGCATAAGGTTTGGTGTTGGTGTAAATCCTTTCATGCATTTGAAGGAAACAGGGATAAAGGAATTAAATATTGTTGACATTTATAGGGGTTTTCCACAGCATGAACAGACTGGTGTCTCTTAAAGGAACTCTGCCGGCTGAAGGATCTGCCACACTGAACGCACTGGTACGGCTTCTCCCCAGTATGTCTTCTCTCGTGTAATCGAAGGTAAGAGTGATGTCTAAAGGCTTTACCACATTCTTTACATTCATAGGGTTTCTCTCCAGTGTGGCTTCGTTCATGAAACTGAAGATAACTCTGACGTGTAAAGGCTTTTCCACAGTGTTTACATTCATAGGGTTTTTCTCCTGTATGAGTTCTTTCATGTAATCGTATGGAAGAATGATATCTAAAAGTTTTCCCACATAGTTTACACTCATAGGGTTTTTCACCAGTGTGAGTTCTTTCGTGCATTTGAAGTAAAGAGGGATAAATGAAGGACTTACCACACTCTTTACAATTATAGAATGTCTCTCCATGCATTATCTTATGTCTATGATAGGAACTCTGAGATTTAAAAACGATATTACATTGTTTACATTCGTAGTGTTTTTCTCCAGTATGAACTTTTTCATGCAATCGCAAGTGAGTAAGTCTGCTAAAAGCTGTACCACAGTGATTACATTCATAAGGTTTTTCTCCAGTATGAATTCTTTCATGTGACTGAAGGGCATTGAGACATCTGAAGGCCTTACTACACTGTTGACATTTATATGGTCTTTCTTCAATATGAATTTTCTGATGTCTTTGAAGAGAATTGTAAGAACTCAGAGTTTTACCACACTGGTTACATTCATAACTTTTTCGTACAGGTTGGCTTCCTACGCACTCTTTGTACTCATAGTTGTGATGTCCATTGTAAGTCAGGTGATATAGTCCATAGGATTTTAAACATACCTCACACTCAGAAGGCCCATTCACAGTGTGAGTTCCCATGTAGCCTTCAACACTTGTGAGAAAATTGGAGTCATGTGGCTTCTGTTCATACTCCTCATGTTCATACTGTGTGCATTCAGAGTGAGAGATGATGTTCCTATGAAAAGATGAAAGAGACATGAATATGTCTACACACTGCTGCTCATATTGAGATTGGTATATGGATAAGGCTGTCCATCACCTTCTTCAGTATCATTGAGTATCTATAAATATAACTACTATGAAAAGTAACAAGTAGATTAGTGACAACTGTTTTCCTACTGCTTGCTTATTAGACCATCTTGGACAACCTGCTACCCAAAACAAGCAAAATGTGTGCCTTCCCATGAAAAGTCTGAAAATAAACGAACTGATGATTTTAGAATATGACTCCCATAAGCCCATGATGAAAATAGCAGCATTTGTCAATGCAGGGTCCCAGAACTGATTCCAGGTGAAAGACTAAACAAAATATATTTTGTGTGTAATTTTTCTAATGATAAATGAATTTAAACTTGGGCTTATTTGTTTTGTTAGTTTGTTATTAATTTTCATAATAAAGGGTATGAAAAGAAGGCTCAGTTACTATGAAACTGGCTGCTCTTCTAGAGAACCCGGATTCAGTTCACAGTCCCAACATGGAGGGCAACAATCAGTTGTAAACCCAATTCCAGAGGATCTGATGCCCTCTTTTGGCTTCCAAGGGCACAGCGTGTATATGGTGCACAGACATACAACAACACACACACACACAAAAAAAAAAAAAAAAAAAACAAAAAAAAAAACACACAACAAAACACCTATATGCATAAAATTAAAATAAATAAATCTTGCCAGGCAGTGGTGGCACATGCCTTTAATCCCAGCACTTGGGAGGCAGAGGCAGGTGGATCTCTGTGAGTCCAAGACCAGCCTGGTCTAGAGAATAAGTTCTAGGACAGGCAAGGCTACACAGAGAAACACTATCTCAAAAACAAACAAATAAATCGATCTTAAAAACAAAATTTTTACAGCATATTAAAATGTCTTCAAGAAATATTTGTTTGCATTTGTGCATACAAATTACCTTAGATTTATTTCAGACTCTTCAAAATGGTCTTCAATTTTCTGGTCTTCCCATTCATATCCTAAACCACGGTCACAGAAAATGTATGGAGAATTATTAGAATGTATATTGTAACTATGCCTAATTTCTTCACCACATTCTTCCCTTTCCACACCCAAATCCCAACAACCATCAATAACCAGAAATACTTGTTCTCTAATTTATGGAGTGAAGACATTTTTGTTTTGTTTGAGACAGGGTCTCTCTATGTAGTCCTGAACTCACTATGTAGATGAGGCTGCCCTAAAACTCATGTAGATGCTCTGTCCTCTGCCTCCTGGCTGCCAGGATTAAAAGCACGGCTAGTCTTACCTGTATCAGTTAAGTTCCTGAAGGTCTCCAGCATCACAGCTCCGTAGAGAGTCTTCTGAGAAGTATCTAGCAAATCCCACTCATCCTGGGTGAAATGCACCACCAGATCCTCAAAGCTCACCAAACCCTAAAACATTCCATATTAGGATATGAAAGAGTGGGTGAGAAAGACACATCCGTCCACAACTGACAGTATGGCCACGTAATTCTGTGGTTTCCACATACTCATTCCATGACACACAAGAGCACTGAGTGATGTTCAGAGATGACTGGGTCCAGGGAGGAGATGCGCTGCTTCCCACCTCAATCCCTTTCCCCAGTGATCTCCACTTTCTGTCCCAGGAACACCCTATCATGTGATACACACAACGGCATAACGCTGGGGCTCAGGAGGCCGCCTGCCCTTGGAAACTCACGCTCAAGAGTTTAAGCCTCTTCCTCCATATTCCTTCATTCAAAGAAATTTCTGAAAACAAGGTTAAAAAAAAAAAAACCGCCGGGCGGTGGTGGCGCACGCCTTTAATCCCAGCACTTGGGAGGCAGAGGCAGGCGGATTTCTGAGTTCGAGAGTTCGAGGCTAGCCTGGTCTACAGAGTGAGTTCCAGGACAGCCAGGGCTACTCAGAGAAACCCTGTCTCGAAAAACCAAAAAAAAAAAAAACCCTCATGGAGTTCAGTGGATATAAGAATAGAATCTCTGAAACAAGTCCTTCAGACATGTTCTTAAACATATGGTAAATGATACCCTGTAACAAACAAACTTCAAACCCTGGAGAAGAGAGAACTGACTTCCTAAGGTACTCCGTAATCACACACAAACACTCTTTAAGACAAGTATTTAGTGTGTGCTTGGTGCACACGTGCACACGTGTGGGAGTCTGTTTGCGCCTTCTACCGTGTGTGCCCAGGGATAAAGCTCAGGCTGTCAGGCTCAGTGGCAGTTGCACTGACCTGCTGAGTCACATCACTGGCCCAACTGCTCATTCCTCTTGGGTTTTCTGAGACAAAGTTCAGTATATAGCCTTGCTTGCTGGCCTGTGGTTTGCTAGGTAGACCAAGCTGGTCTCAGACACACAGAAAACCACCTGCCTCCGGATCCCAAGGGCTAGGATTAAAGGCATGCACTATCACACCCAGTAATGCTCACTTTTTACAACTAAAAACATAAGAAAATAATGCAGAGAAACACATATGTGACAAGTGGAATGAGGGAAAAATGATTTAATACATGTTCTCAGAAAAATCAGTTACTACACAACCTCAACAGTGTCACCAGCTGGAAACCAAGTGATCCTACACATGAATCTATAGGGGCAATGTCACATTCAAATAAGCAACTCCATGGTCACAAATTTAGTAACATATGAAGTTAACAAATTCTGTGAAATGATAAATCTAGTCCAAAACAATCATAAAGAAACAAATGGAGGCGGAGTAGCTTAGATGAAATGAACAAGTTATTTGCAGACTATCAAGAAGAGAAACTAAATAGTATAAATATGCGTGTGCACACGTGGGAAAGAATACGTAACAGCTGCACACCGGGCAAGGGCTCCCTGTGCAGTGGCTGACAGATGTCACGAGACTCTCCTGGGTTAACTTTTCCTTCTCTTTAGAATGCTGGCCAGAGCCCGAATACGCTCATCTGCCAAGAGACTGACCACTGTGCCAATTTAACTCAAAAGGCATTGTGTTTTGGTTTTTTGTTTGTTTCTTTGTTTTTGGTGTTTCGGGATTTTTCCTCTTCTCTTCTCTATCTCCCCTTCCCGACAGCTGGCAGAACGTACAACTTGTCAGTCCTAAGGGGTTCTTTTAAATTCATAAAACTGTCCTTAAGCTTTGAGACAGCTCTTAAATCCATCCAAAAGATTATTTTTGTGTGTGCCTATACATGTGCATGTGTGTGTGAGTGTATGTATGTGCACCATTGCATGCAGTACACACAGAGGTCACACACTGGATACCTTGGAACTAGAGTTGCAGCAGTTGGGAACTGAATCTGGGTCCTCTGCTCATAACTGCTGCGCCATCTCTCTGTCTCTCCTTAAATTCTTAGTAACGAGACTAAGAACCCCAAGAGGGAACTCAAATTTCCCATGTGCAAATCGGGCAGAACTCCCCAAAATTTCTAGTGACATTACTTGTTGGTATGAAGTACGCTGTTTTAGGTGAATATTTCAGGTCTTCAATTATGAAGAAAACAGAAGACAAAGAAGACAGTAACGAACACGGCAACTCTAAAATAAAGAATGATCAGGGCTGGAGAGATGCCTCAGAAGTTAAGAGCACTGGTGCTCTTCCAGAGGACAGGGTTCACTTCCCAGCACCTAAACGGCAGCTCACAACTATCTACACCTCAGTTCCAGAGGATCCAACCCTCACACAGACTACATGCAGGTAAAATACCAATGTACATAAAATAAAAATAAATTATTAAAATTAAAAAACAGAACACAGCAAGGGCCAGATACCACAGGAAGTGAGCAAAGAGGTGATAGAGAAATGAAAGACAGAGGAGTCAAGTGGTTTATGCGCTATGAAGAAGAAAGGCAGAGCTGGAGACTCAAAGGCAGCTGCTGTTCCTGCTCCTTGGGAAATGGAGAGTTACACTGTCCATCAATAGAGCCGGTAACAAATGCAAGTGCCAGTGGGCCTATGGCTTCTTCTTTTGAGAAAGTGGACCACTGGTGAGTTGCTGCGACTCCCAGAGCTGTATCCTAGTCCAGGAAGAAGAGCAGGGCCTACAGAGTGGAGACCACAGCTGATTTGTCTCTCTGGATGACGCTATGTTGGATCACAGTTTTTCTGTGCTGTATTTAACTTTGGCTGGGGATGTATTTCCTCTGGACTCTTTGGGCTGGACATTTAGCCATCCTGAGTTTCCAAATAAGATGTCATTGCTGTCATAGTACTTTCAAGCACACTAGGATGAGAAGTATGTGGTGGAAAGATGGAAGAGAGAGAGAAGCAGGAATGGTCTATGCACTCTGAAGGAATCGGAACTAGAACCATGAGGGTGGTTAGGAACAGCCTGATGAGACTAGCCTGCAATGCCCTGAGGCCATGGGGAAGACCCAGCTCACGCTGCCAGAGAGGGCCATGTCTGGGTCCATGGCGCTATAGCAGCAGAAGTTTGTTGCTCCATGTTACCACCAAAGGTCAAACAAACACTCTTTCTTGATTGCTGCCTAGGACCATGTAGCTGTCTGAGGGCTGAGCAAAGCTGGCCATGCCCCTGCCCCTCACCTGTGCTGCATGGGAGAGTTGGCCTGGAAATCAGGAGAGCTGCCCCCACCAGCAGCTGCAGCACTGAAGTGGATCCCCCCTAGCACCCCCACATTGTGTCTGGCCAACACAGTAGAGATGGCTCTGGTGGGGTTGGGGGGGCGCACAGGTGAGCCAGCCCCTAGGGCATGAGTTTAGGAGAGCTCATTCTGATCCCACTAACTACAGCACTCAGGAAATGGGGTTCCACACACCTGGGCAGCACTCTAGTGCTGGCCCTAGTGGAGTGGGAGTTGGTGAGCCAACCCCAACAGTGTGAGCACAGGAGAGCTGGTCTCATCCCTCACCAGCCATGCACTGACATGGGTACAGGAGAGCTGGCCCAACCCTTTGCTTGGCAGCATGGGAGAGCTGGCTCTGCACCTCTCCTGGACAGCACAGTAGGACTGACCCTGGTAGGGAATGGGGGATAGAAGAGGGCATGAGGATAAGCCAGTACCTAGGGCATGAGCACAGGAGGCTGGCCTCACCCCTCACCTGGGAAGGGCAGGAGAGCTGGCCCTGATGGTGCCAGTGCAGGAGAGCTGCCGAACAAACCAACTCAGCTATCACCCAGGCCCAGCTTCAGGACTCTGAGTTAGCCCACTCCCATCTGTGAACTGCTAGAACCTGTGAAGGAGCCAGTCCTGCAGATACAAAGCTGCAGGATCTCCATGACACAGGGCAACAACAAGATATCTGAGAGGAGTCCCCGTGAGGGTCCAGCATTTATAGTGTAGCAGAAGCCAGAGGCCTGGAACCAGACCAATGACTCATTCCAATGAACATTTGCAAGGAAAGCTGTTTGGACAAAGTGTGTACATGCTGCAGCTTCCATGGTGATACTGCTTTGTTTGTGTTTTCCTTTCTTTTCTTTGCGGGGGAAGGGAGATAGAGGACAGAAGATAGATATGGAGGGATGGGGAGATCAGTGAGATTGGAGTGTATAATGTAAAATTCCCAAAGAATCAATAAAAAAGCTTTTAAAAATTTAAAATGTACAAATTAAATAAGAGAATGATGACTTTAAACTAACATTTAAGGGACACATAAGAAAACAGGAGAACGTGAGTAGCTACCTGAATCAGGGTTCTCTTGAGGATAGAAATAAAAGAACAAATAACAAAGGAACTTAATACACTACCTTATCTAATTTACAGCTTACCTCATCAGGCCTGGAGAGTCCAACAATGGCCGTCTCCATCATGGAGAGGCTCCATCCACAAGGCTGGAAGCCTCAGAGCTTCAATCTGGCACTAAGGGCTCGGAAGGCACCAGGACAGCTTCTTCAGTGGTCTTCAGTCCACACTGGAAGGCCCAAGAAGCTGACTCCAATGTCAGGGAAGGATGGCAGCAGGAGCGGCAACGAGACAGATGCACTCACCAGCAAGAAGTGAAGGCAAGCAGGGAAAACACTGCTCCTTCTGTGGACGTTTCAAAGTGCCACCTACTCCAAGGACGACGACGACGACATCTTCTTCTCACCTCAGTCAATCCTCCCTGAAATTTCCTGGCAGACCTGCAGAGACAGGCCTCTTAGTTGATTCCAGAGCCATTCAAGCCAACAGTAAAGATCCACCATCACACAAGCAACCAGAAGCAGTATTAAGACGCATGCACCCACTGAGCACTGTGGACCCTCACAACTTCTGGCCTGCCTGTCTCCGCCCACAGGCTCCTCTCAGTCTTACCTCTGACCAAATGTGTCTCAGGCGCCATCACTCACAACTTTCCCTAACCATTGGTTTTCACACCTAACCTTGGCCGCTCCTCCCAATCACACTGCTGGCGAAATCCTTGCTCACGGCCTTGAGGCAAGCTCTGCTGATGCCCCAGGGCTCAGAAGACCCAGAACAACAAGTTAGATGATACATGAAAAGTTACAGGATAATGCCAATACTACTGCAGGGGCATAGCAATAAAAGGGGAATGCAATGCGAGAACACTGAGGCGGGGGAGGGGAAGCTGTGACAACAAATTTCCATACGGAAAATCCAAGGAACCAAAAAGGACTGAAAACTTGTATGACACATCAACACACAAAAGCCCACCCTTTTCCTATGACAGCAATGACCTGGATGTACAGTACCAAGTCTGCACTGTACATACACTGATAAAAAGGGGAGGAAAAGCCTTTAGACAAAGTCAAATACTTCTAATGAAGAGAAAAACAGAAGGAAGTTGGCACCGCAGAGGACAGGAAGCCTGTGTGTGTAAGACGTTCTTACACATCTTCTATCGGCCCTGGGCTCAGAAGGCCTTCCCCACTAAAGCCGCAATGGTAAAAGGTTTTGAGGTTTTGGAGTGATCAGCTCTGTTTTTATTATTCTTAGCTTTTCCGCAATGCTCTCCCTGCACCATGGGGAATGTATCTAAGAGCTTCTCTAAAGGCCAGCCACTAGGCGCCTCTGTATCTTTCCATTGTCTATGTTCTCACTGGACTCTTGTCATATAGCTCAGTGTTCTATTTATAAAGACTGAACAATGTATCAATGAAAAGAAAACCAAGTAATAAAGTCATAAAAATCAAGAAATAAAATGTCAAAGGGAAAACTTGAAAAATGAAATGAAAACAAACGAACCAAAAAAAGGATGGAAGGTGCAAACAGTCAAGGATTTACACCACGCTGAGTGCAGTGACGCACACGCTGACGCAGTGACGCACACGCTGACGCAGTGATGCACACCTTCAACCCTATCCCTCGGGAAACAGGCAAGAGCATCTCTTAAGATCGAGCCTACCCTGGGAGACAGAGAGTTTAATAGAGACTCAGTCTTAAAAATAGAAAACAAATTTACACCAATCTGGAACAATGTGTCTCAGAAAAGCAAATACTTCTGTTTTTTCATTTGTTTGTTTGGTTGGTTGGTTGGTTGGTTGAGGTTTTTTTTTTTTTTTGGTTTTTTGAGACAGGGTTTCTCTGTGTAGCCCTGGCTGTCCTGGAACTCACTCGGTAGACCAGGCTGGCCTCGAACTCAGAAATCCTCCTGCCTCTGCCTCCCAAGTGCTGGGATTAAAGGCGTGCACCACCACTGCCTGGCAATACTTCTGAATTTAAAGTATGAAGCCACCATTCTACCATAAAAACAAATAAGGTGTGCACACGCATGTACACACGTACACACATATGACACACACATATTACATATATGTATACCACATTTTCGCTATCCATTCATCACTGATGGACATTTAGACAGTTCTCATTTTCTAGATACTTTGAATAAAGCAATGATGAACATGGTTGAACAAGTCTATCTGTAGTAGGATACACGAATGTAGGATGTAGAGTCCGGCGGGTATATGCCTAGGAATGTAATAACTGGCTGTGACAGCCTGAATAAGAATAGCCTCCAGAGGCTCCCGTATTTGAATGCTAGGTCATCAAGGAGTAGCACTACTTGAGAAGGATTAGGAGGCATGGCCTTGTTGGAGGATATGTGTCATTGTGGGTAGACTTTGAAGTTTCAAAAGCCCAAGCCCGGCTCAGTGTCCCTCTCTCCCTGCAGATCTGGGCATAGACCTCGCAGCTATTCCTCCAGCGCCATGTCTTCTGCATGCCACCATGCTCCTTGTCATGATGATGATGAACTAACTCTCGGAAACTGTGAGCCAGTCCCAATTAAAGGCTTTGTTTATAAAAGTTGCCATGGTCATAGTGTCTCTTCACAGCAACAGAACAATGACTGAGACCCTGGGTCATATGTCCTCTGTTTGGATTTGAGACCTGCTTCACAAGAGGAAATCCATGACACTGTAAACCTAGCCAAAACCTCATGGCATCCAGGAGTAAACTTACTAACAGAGTTTAGCTTACTGTCCTGGAGCCAGGTTACTTTCTAAATATCTATGTTCATACCCATAAACAAATGCCACTCCTAGTCTTACTCAGAGAAGCCTCCTTTTGCAATGAATGTCAGTGAACACGGGATGCAAGGGTGTTCAAAGCGCTGAGAGTAATTGGCAGTTAAGTGCTCAATCCAAATAGGACATTTTAAAATTATTTTAATTTTGCTTTCGATATTTTACTTATATTTATTTTGTAAGTGTGGATGTTATACCTTTCTGTATTTCTATGCAACATGTTCATGTAGTACAAAGCCAGAAGAGGAACTGGACTTACAAACGGTTATGAGCTACCGTGTAAGTGCTAGGAATTGAACTCTAGTCTTTTGAAAGAACAGCCAGTGTTCTTAATTTCTGAGTCATTTCTCCAGCCCTGAATAGGACACTTATACTATTACCTCAGGAGGGGGGAATCACAGCACAGGAGGGGGGATCACAGCACAGGAGGGGGGATCACAGCACAGGACGGGGTGAAAAATGTAAGAGCAGGGGAGGAGAGGGAGAAGGGCTGTAAAACCCTGACTTCTGGGCTGGAGAGATGGCTCAGTGGTTAAGAGCACTGTCTGCTCTTCCAGAGGTCCTGAGTTCAATTCCCAGCAACCACATGGTGGCTCACAACCATCTGTAATGGGATCCAACGCCCTCTTCTGGTGTGTCTGAAGACAGCTACAGTGTACTTATATAAATAAAAAAATGAATAAATCTTTAGAAAAAAAAAAAAAAAAAAAACCTGACTTCTGGGCATAGCAACGCCAGTGCTGCCATGACCTCACAGTGGCGTAGTCACATCCAGCGGGACTGCTCAGAACAGCACCAACAGTCAGTTATGGGCAGGGGGAGAGCCTACAGTGCTCTACGACTCTTCCTTGGATTACTGACCACTGACAGATTCTGGAGGAAGAAGTCATTGTCTTTAGTGTGGTTCCAACACAGAATTTAAGAAAGGAGATCAGAAAGAGAATTGCAGGGATGAGGCAGGATTGGAGGTGCACTGGAGTCAGAGAGGGGGAGCCACAGCAGGCACTTATACATGTATGAAATCGTGACGGGGAAATTTGTTTAAGTTATAAAAATCTTAAGGAAAAAAAGTATCATGGCTCATATCACTACTCCAGAACTTTGGAGGCAGCAAGAGAATCAGGAATTTGAAGCCATCCTTACCTACACAAGAACCTACCTCAACATAATACAGAAATTAACTAAACCAAATCAAAAATTGACATATTGCAACCAAGTAGAAATTAAGACAGGTATGCAAATCAACTAAAACTTCAAAATTCAAGCTGTGGACGAAACTCAATGGCAGAGCACGCAAGAATCAGAGTTTAATTCCCAAAATGCACCTCCCTGAGAAAAGTTTAAAAAACAATGTAATCTATCAACAACAAGTAAGTAACAAAAATCATACGAATGGGCTGGGGAGGCGGCTCCAACGTTAAAGCACTGGCTGCTCTTCCAGAGGACCAGGTTCAATTCCCAGCACTCTGGTGACTTACAGCCATCGGCAACACCAGTTCCAGGGGATCTGACACTCTCCCTCTATCCTCCCAGACACCAGTACACAGACTTAAATGTAGGCAATACAGCCACAGAAATAAAATATAAAAATAATTTTAAATCAGATCATGCTATATTTAAGGGAGAATAGAACTATATGTCAACAAGAGGGAAAGTAAGTTTTTTCAGAAGAAATAAAAAACTGATTTTGCCCTCCAAAAAATCTCAAAAATCAACAAAAATTCAAGGAACTAATGTGATACCATAACAAATATATAGAATATACAATTCTATCCTACTCCTGTACATTGCCAATAAGCAATAGGCTGTAAAAATAAAAACACTATGTTGCTTGTACACCAATAAAGATAAATGACACAGAAAGAAATATGTCCAAATGTAACAAAGAACTACAGACATGCTGGGTGTGGCATTGTACACACTCGGCAGAGCCAGGCAGACGGCTGTGAGTTCCAGGCCACACTGGTCTACAAAGTTCCAGAGTTCCAGGTCAGACAGGCCACACAGTGAGACTTTGTCTAAAGAAAGGGGTTGAGAGGGGACGCCTGCAGACATTAACTTTCTTTTATTTTTTAATTATGTATTTTCTATGTATGAGTGTTTTGCTCCCACCGAATTCATGCCTGGTACCCATGAAGGCCAGAAGAGGGCTTCAGATCTCCTTGAACTGAAGTACAGATGGGTGTAAGCCGCCATGTGGTCACTGGAAATCGATCTAGAAGAGTTTAGCCACTAAGCCAGCTCTCCAGCCTCACACGACAAATCAGCAGTGAAAGCAATGAACTTCATAAATGGAGTGTGACCGCAGAACCCTGGCTGTGCGTGAAGTGTTGAGGGCGCAGTCTGCTGTGTCCTGTCCCAGTTAACTCCACATTGTGAAACACAGTGGCTTCCCAGGCAACACTTTCCTTGCCCTGAGTGACTTCATGTGACTCCATTCTGAGGGAAGAGAATGACTATAGCCCCCTGGGTACTGGCACAAACAATACTATCTGTTCACCCAGATAGCACAGACTGCTAAGGCTTGTTCCTGGAACAGAGGGAACTACTCTATAAGTTTATCAGGGTGAATTGAGACTAGAGGGGCATGTGAGTGTATTACAATGTTATCAGGAAAACCAGGGAAGGGCCTAACTCCCTCTCCTGGCCTCTTTAAGTGATAGACACCTACTAGCACTAGGATGTCTGGCCCCAAACAAACCTATCATCTGATAACTGGCATATAATTCAGGAAAGGACAAGCAGGAACTCCTGTCCCTGAGGTTTCAATTCAACTAGGTCCCTTGACTCAGCCTACTCAACGCCTGGCCCTCCACCTATCTGACCTGGACCTGAGCCCACAGTTCCTGTTCTCAGAGCCTGGTTCTGCCTTCTGTCTAGAGCTAAGCAGAATGGTTAGCAAACCTGAGTCCTCCCCGTGACTTCAAAGGCTCCCTCCCTGTGGTACAGTTGTTTTGTGTTCCTTATCGTATTAGTACAAGCTCTACCTACAATTCTCTCAGCCTACTTCTCAGCCTTTTCTTTTACCTGCATTCACTTTACAAACTAAATATATGCTGCATAGATATGCTGTGTGCTGTGACATGAGAATTAATATTAACAATTAAGACTAGAATAAAACCCACATTAGACTTGTCCTAATTACAAAAGTAGGTGAAATCATCTGAAAAATTGCTGCCATCAAAACCTTTTAAATTGCTGGTTATTCAGAAACATTCTGATACTTTGGGAAGATACAAATGTGCCCATCTATATTTCTAGCTTAGTATGTCATGATAAAAAATGTCAATAATGTCAGTTCCCAGTTTAAACTAGAAGCTCAACATATTTCCAATAAAAAAATCCTAAAATAAGGTAACAGAAAATGAAACATAAAGGTTGTGTGGAAATGAAGGAAAGAACCAGAATGGTGAACACAATACAGAAGAGTCAACTACAACACTTCCTGACTAACAGTTCTCAGCGAACCTCAGTACTCAAAACAATGCACTATTTGAGAGAGGAAAAATTGACAAACCCACAAATGCATAAGCAGAAATAAAAACAAAAATATAATCAAGGGATGCTTGACAGAAGAACAAAATAAATTCAATAAGACAAGTCATCTTTCCCAGAGCCGTTTCTAAACATCTTTGCAAAGAAACTTACTGAACTTTACAAATGTCGCCAAATTAACATAAAGAGGAGCCCGTACTTATATACGGAATGCAAAGTTCAGAACTTCTCGAAGGCGGCACAAAGAACCTAGACAGCCTTCGTCTAGCAAACAGCCTTCAGCTCAACACCAAAAGCAGGCTGTGCGCGCCAGCCCGGATAGTGACGTCATCCGCGAACCGGCTCCTTCCCCCCACCCCGCCGCAGGGCGGGGCCTCCCGCTCAGCGCTGACGCGGAAGAGGATCAGGGCGGAAGTACCTACGGGCCCCAGGCGGAGGCCCAGGTCGCAGTTCCTCTGTCCCCGCGCCCACTGCCTTAACCCCGGGGAGGACCCACCACCCCGGCTTCCGCGGCTCAGCCGGCCGCTCCTCCCGTCAGGGAACAGCGACCCTCGCTCACCATGGCGCAGCTCCGAGCTCACCCGCGCTCCCCTCACAGCTCCAAGCAGTGGCTTGCACAACGGCCTTCCTAAGCTTTGGTTAAGAACCTTTAGCTAGCATGGCGGCGGAAAAGAACCCGCCCCGCGCCTCTTAGAAGTTTCTGATTGGTCAACGTGCCTGGAGATCCTGATTGGCTAGAACTGCTCTGCATGGGCTGAGTGACAAGAGTGGCTCTTCTGGTCGGTCGCTCCTTAGGCTGTGAGCCTAGAGCCCTTTGTTTAGTGTTGTGGTGGCCAGCAGGTGTCAACATAGGCTCATGGCTCTTGTGTACCTCAATGTGTGCTCTACTGAATGATTCCAGGACCCTGGCCAGTGAAAACAGCTGACATTGTCAAGCTAGTTTTATGACTCTGACATACCTAGGGACAAGTCTGCTGAAAGAACCAAACTAATGTTCCATGCTGACAGCTCAGGAGGGCACTGTGCCATAGCTTCTCCAGAATATTTTTGTTGAGAGACTTGCTGTATAGGGTATAAAAGACTCAAACTTGTAATCCTCCTGCCTACTAAGTATTGAGATCATAGGCCCTGAGCCAATATGTCTAAAGCCATAATTTTGTTCTCATACAGTCATTAGAGAACTTGTAACTTTCTTGGCTTTCCTCAGGTACTCTTCTCCTTCACATGTAAAACTGGAGGGGAAAAAAAAAGGAGAGTGTGTAATTAAGGGGCTAGCAAATGTGATGAGATGGCTTGTCATTTAAGAGTACTGGCTGCTCTTCCAAAGGATCCAGGTTCCATTCACAATTCCCACAAAGAGGCTCACAACCTCCTGTAGCTCCAGTTCCAAGGAATCCAACACCTCCTGGCCTCCATGGGCACCATTCAAACATAGCAGACAAACTTTCTGACAAATCACCAATACATATAAAATAAAACTAAATATTTTAAGTGTGTAATTAAATAGCTAAGAAAGTGGCTCAGTTGCCTAGACTGCAGGAAACACTGGGTTCAATCCTCAAAACTCCATAAACTAACAAAGATGACATTTGTCTATAGGACCCCCCACCAGCGACGAAGATCAAAAAGTCATAAGTTCAAGGTCATACTCTACTACATGGTGGTTTTGAAGCCAGTCTCTGCTGCATGACTCTCGAAAAACACTAAAAGCTGATCACAACTTCAATCCTAGCATTCCAGAGGCAGAGGCAGGCAGATCTCTGTGAGATCTAGGCCAGCCTGGTCTATACAATGAGACCCTATCTCAAAATAAAAAGTGTCCATCATTGAATGGTTCAATCTACAAATGTGCTGCACATACACTCATGTAAGTTCACACATATTGCATGTGAAATAAATATTTACACATTAAACCTCCAGCAGCAATGGCATCTAGTGAGAGTGAGTTAGATGATATCCCAGAATAAGAACTCACATGATGCTTATAAGTATGTTCAAAGACACAAACAACTGAACAAAATACAGAAGGCAGTGGGCAATATGAAATAGAAACTCAACAAAAAGGAAAAACCAGTCTGAAATGTGGAAATAAAAACCTGCGGGTAGCCTCATTGATAGAATCGATCAAGGAGAGAACAGAAGAGCCGAGCTGGAAGACACAGGGGAGGAACTGAACAGCCCAACAAGGAAATAATAGCATAATAACGAGCAGTTACCAGTGAGAATCACAGACAGGCACAACACTGAAAAGACCACAAGGGTGACAGGCATGTGTCTGACAGACTTTTCTAGAAATGTCAGAAACCACATGCATGAAGTCTCATCAACCGTGACCTGAACAAGGATGTCAGTAAGCATCCTAATGGGAAGAAAGACCACAGAGGTTTTAAGCCAGTCTGGTCCACATGGCAAGTCAGAGCTCTTATTTTTGTTTTGTTTTGTTTTGTTTTGTTTTTAGTTGGTTGGTTTGCTTTGTTGATTGGTTTTGGTTTTGGTTTGGTTTGGTTTTTAATGTATACAGTGTTCTGCCTGCATATTATGTCTGCAGGCCAGAGGAGGGCACCAGATCTCATTCCAGATGGTTGTGAGCCACCATGTGGTTGCTGAGAATTGAACTCAGGACCTCTGGAAGAGCAGCCAGCGCTCTCAACATCTAGCCATCTCTCCAGCCCCTGGGTTTTGGTTTTTTCTTTAGAATTTTTGTTTGTTGGTTGGTTAGTTGGTTTTTATTTGTTTGTTTTATTATTATTGGGGGTTTTGTTGCTTTTGTTTAGTTTTTGATTTGGGGTTTTTTGATGTTGTTTGCTTGTTTGTTTGTTCGTCATTTCAAGACAAGGCCTCTTTGTGTAGCCCAGACTTTGGACCCAAACTCAGAGATCATCCACCTGCCTCTGCCTTCCAAGTGCTGGGATTAAAGGTGTGCACCACAACCGCCCAGACATTTTTTTTTTGAGGTTTTTTTTTTTTAATTTCTTTTTTTTTTTTTTTGAACATGAAATGCTTTTTTATAGCATGTTTTACAAGGGAAGGGGGTAAGAGGGTCCAGGTGGTGGAAAAGTACAAAATCTTCTTGGCCTGTGCCTTGAAACATGTCATGGTCTATATGGTACACTGCCTTGAAATATGATCTACCTGCAGTTCTTCAGAAGATATGGTACACTGCTTGAGTTATGGTCTCCCTGCTATTCTTAAGAAGACATGGTACTCTGCTTTGAGTCTATCTGCAGTTGCTAAGCAGGATCTTACAGCTGCCAAGCTTCAGAGGACATTGTGCAGGTGGGGAAAGGTAGGGGGTAAGGGTAAGGGCGAGGGTCCTGGCTTCTGGCATCTCCCCCTTCTCTGTTTAGTTAGAGAAGGCTTCTTATGTTCAATCCCAACTATGTGAGTTTTGAATTTGGATGTCTAATTATGGGGGGTCTTAGACAAGTTCACAACCCCAAAACACTGATGTGAGACAAGTCACATCGATGGTCGAAGGCTTTAGGCTGTCGACGATGCTGCCCAGACATTTTTATTTTATTCATTTTATTTTACTTTTATATACATTTTTAAAATTTAAATAAAAAGAAGAGGTTAAATTGTTGCCTTACGTGAGTAGACAATGCTGTTGTGTGACAAAACGTTTCCTAGGGAGAAGCAACAAGCATGCCAACAGAGATCCCACCACACACCAAAGTACAGATACCACCAAAGTCCAACTCTGTAAACCAATGAGCTTTACTGGGCTTACTTACAGGACCAGAAATAACTGAAAGACAGCTGTATCACCAAAGCCCACCCCAGCATGAGCTCACAGAAGCTGGAAACCTAGAGCTCACTGCACAGCCTTCAGGCAGCTCAGCAGGTTTCTACCAGGGAACACACCGCTGTTGTCTAAATGGACACGCTGTCACCATGCCTTCTGCATGTCTTAGTGCTTCTCTCACCCTCAGTCAGAGCCGTGCTCCCTTGCAGCAATCAGCAGTCAATGCAAAGACTCCTAAGTGTTCAAAGTGCTGAGAGTAAGTAGCTGCTGATTGCTCGGCCCTAGAGGAGACCTCTAAATAAACCTCCTACCAGCGAGGCATCATTGAAGGCAGCAGGAGGGCGAGTGAAAGGCGGAGGATGAGGACTGCTGTGAAAATCATGGGCTATGCATCTAACCCTGAGAGTGCCACGGTGAGCCCACTGCAACTATGGTCACCTGCACATAATCAAGCCAACTGCTCAGTCAGCATTTCAGCAAGCAGTATCAACTGGACCGCAGGAGGAAATAAAAAGGACAAAACGTGAACTGGTAGAGGGACATCATGTGGTGCTTGGAGGATGTGGGAGCTGGGAGTTGGAAAAAGATACAAACAAGATACATTGAAAGTCTGGCTACATCAGCCAATCCTGGTTACACTGTAACTCCTTTCTTTAAGTGACTCCAGAGCATCAGGAGCCCAAAGGCAGAAGTGAGAAATTTAGCTTCTAAATCAATGAAATATTGCTTGTGTCTCTTGTAGATAACATCTGTCTTTTGTAATCAAGATTTCTAGGCTATCAAAGTATGAAGTAATAGGAAAAGAAAACAAATTTTTTTTGATACAGTCATTAATGGTAATTGTAAGTGGACCGTTTCTATTTCCACACTTGAATCCTGATCACTGAAGAAAAATACCAAACAGTGGACACTAATTCAGAACATAGACAGATCTTCTCTCTTGGTATCACTTCAGTCTATCCCTACCTCTGCATTTTTAAATCTGTGTTTTAAAAATAAAGTGTGTGTGTGTGTGTGTGTGTGTGTGTGTGTGTGCCGTGTCTGTGGGTAATTTCAGAGACCAGAAGAAGGGGTCAGGTTTCACTGAAGCTGGAATTACAGATAGTTGCTAGCATCCTAGTATGGATGCAGCAAACTGGATTTGGGTCCCCTGGAAGATCAGCAGGTTCTACTAACTAAACCAATTCTTCCAGCCCCTTCAGAGGAATTTGGAAGAATTTAGACTATCAAAATAGAAGAGCCTGCAGTGCTGACAGCAGAGCTTAGCAGGCAGCTCTGCTGGGTATTTGGTGGACCAGAACACACAAAGTGCTGTGAGCTTTCTAACCAATGAGGTTTCATGAAGGAACAATTCTTGAACTGGCTTAGGAAAGGTCAGATTGTCCTAACCCTGCACCTCCTCCTGTCTGGAGCAACATTTGCCTGTAAATGAAAGACTTCTCACTTCTTTTAATGAAGTAATTTTTTTTCTACAGCAAAAGGTCTAGTTCCCTACTGATAGAGGGTCCTGGAGTGTACAGATGACTCTTCCGGAGCAGGGAAGAGCCTGCGTGATATTTTACAAGATCAAAGGTTATATTGTATCAACCCTCTCAGCCTACGCCTGAGGGGATCTCAGCTTTTTGATTTTAAAAACCCTAACCTACTTTGCTTTGGCATCAAGAGTCTTCTTCTCCCAGGCATAAATCTGCTCTTGCTCAGCTGGCTAGAGGACTGGTTAACAGCCTTCATTGGCTTAATAAAACTTGGTGGTCTGTAACTCTGGCCTGTGCATTATTTTAGTTCTTTATCAACAATTGAAGTAGGAAACATTCTGTAACATGGAACATTCTGGGGGGAAAACATCTTGTTACATTCTTCTTGTGCTGGGAGAGTTTGAGTGGACCTGAATTTTAAAGAGTATTGTATACTTTTGTCTGGTG